TTATTTTTGTTTGTATGTTTATATTTGTTATGGCTGCTATTAACAGAATGCACTCCGAAGGGCTACAGAGACCATTGATCAGGGTTGAGACTCTGAGATTGCACTCCTCCAAGCGGGAAAGAGCTCTAGAACATCTGGAGGTAAAAAGGGGACGTCCCCTGGGTTCGAGGGAACTGGGACAACAGGGATCCCCCTCACATAGACTTACTACACAAGGCCACACGCAGAAATATGACCACCTTCCACCGTGAAAATCTACTCACATAATGTCAAAGGACTCAATATCCCAGTTAAAAGACACCTCCTCTATAAAGAAATCAAAAATAAGGAGACAGGCGTGCTGTGCCTACAAGAGACACACTTCATGACAGGATCACATCCCACTATCTTACAACAGGACTTCCCTATACAGTTTCATGCGACCACGACTAACAAGACTAAAGGAACGTTGATACTAATTAGAAAAAATGTTGCATATCTTCCTCATTCACACCATATTGACCCAGACAGTAGATACGTTATCATAACAGGCACACTCAACGACATGCCATACACTATAGCGAATGGAAGGTAAAAGGAATGGTTAAAAAAACAGAACCGATCTATAGGTGGAGCGCTCCAAGTGAGTTGACTCACCCCACTCTTGGTCTATGTAAGATGACCTGTACGTGGGGATGAAATAAACAGTAATATGGTGTAGTATATTACAAGTAATACTGGAGAAAATGATGAAGAATATAGAACCACTCACATGGTTCTGAGCCTTAACTGGACAGGCTCAGATCTCTCAAGCAGGCGTGTTTAGGGTCACACGGAACCTTTATGTAGACACGGATCTCGTTGTACCTTTAACGGATGGAAACCAAATATAGTGCAGTATATCGGTATATATAGGTGTAAATGCCAAGAAAATGCTGAAAGTTGCTCACCTGATTCAGAGCCTAAATCCTGGCTCTGAGTATATAAATGAATGTGTCAGAAAGGGGACACAAAACCCTTTTAGATTAATAGCAGGAACACAGGATGCTGGTATCAACAGTGGATTATAAAATGAACAATTTATTATAAAATATAAGGTATATATAACAAAAATAAAAACTATATAAAAATACAGTAATAAAAAGAAAGTCCTTAATCCTGTTGATCCTCCGAGACGCGTTTTGCCCAGCGGCTTTTTCAATCGGTAACATCATCTGTGTTCCGGTTTTCCTTTTATATCTTCAGTTCACACTTAATAGAAGACTTCCTTAATTGCGGATGGTCGGCGGCTGTGTCGCGTAACGTCATTTCCGCTTGTGTCATCATCTAGAGTGGTCGCATTTCTATTAGTTCATACATATGTAAGTCTTTGGTCGCCATCTTATTTAGGGGCGAGATGCGATCTCTGTATACACATAAAGAGTCTCTCATGTAGAGACATCATAGAGAATGAGGGCAAACGAATATAAATAGGAAATTCATGAGACATTAATACATAATGCGGTTTATAACAATATTTAAATAAACTTATTTCATATAACAATATAGTTTGTATTTTTATCTTTTCATTAGCAATTGTATTAAAAACACGACACTTCAATGTTTATAAAATTTAGGCATAAGACAAATCACCCTTATATCTTAATTTTCTGACATATAATATTGTTAAATACCTATTGAGTGTCTTTGTTTTTTTTAAAAAAAAGGGATTACACCTGGGGAATCACTGGTTAAAACAAAATACACCTCATCCTATAAATATAATGTATATATGTAGTCCTAAAACAGAATATATGTGTGTATAAATCTCCCTTAAAGGGATAGACAATATTTAATCTATATGGCATAGATGGGGTAGACTATTTTAAATTCTAATATGCATATATATCTATATCTCGAGATAATGATAGCCATTAATAACAGGCCATTTCTACATTCCTCTTAAAGAGATAGAGTATGTTAAAAAATAAATAAAATAAAACTAAAAGAAACTAATTCCTGCATTAATATACATATGTATCGATCTTTGTATCTTATCAATAAAAAATCATATTAATGTGCCCCATGCCTTTCTCTCCACACTTAAAATACCATTATAGTGACAGATAAAATGTAAAATGTATAAACTTGTATATTGTAGAGTTAATTATAATAATATATGTTGAAGTGCATAGTCTTGAAAAATCCTTATTTCTTGTACAAAAAATATGTTTCTATCATCACATGCCAGTGAATAAAAGATAAAAACAAATTCCATCACAGGAAATGACAAAGTTCAAAGTCATTATTCAGTCCGTGAGGTAACATAGTATTTAAATAAAAAATCCACCTCATTTCCATTTGGCCCAAAGATTGTATTAGGTCCCCGTCTCTCCAGTTTTGAGTAAATTTTTGTATCCCCATAAATTGGGCAAATTCAGGATTCTTGTGATGGAATTTTAAAAAATGGAGAGAAAAACTGTGTTTTTCAATACCATTTTAAATGTTTCTAATGTGTTCTTGTATACGTACATGGAGGGGACGGATAGTCCGTCCCACGTATACAAGACCACAAGGACACGTGATGGTATATATTACTTTCTTAGAGTAACATGTAATTAATTCATTTATTTTAAACCTCTGTTCCAGATTCTTTGGATGTGTAAAGGATGTTATATGTCTCTTTTTATTATTAGTGTTTTTACAAGCTGTGCAGCTACCACAGCCAAAAAAAACTCGTATTATTCAGAAAGTGAAGCTCTTTTTTTTGTTTTAATGTGATTATGTACTAAAGTTCTATTTAAACTCGGAACCCCTCTATAGACTACAGTGGGTCTATCTGGGAGTATGGAGTTTAATATATGGTCATTTTTAAGAATAGGCCAATATCTATTCAGGATTATTTTAACTTGTTTGCTTTTACAATTAAAATCACATATAAATACAGGGTCTTTTTTATTTAGATCGTCATTCTTCTCCTTATATGTTAATAGTGACGACCTTTCTTTCAATTTCACTTCTTCATATGCTTTACTTAATAGTAGTTCTTCATATCCTTTATCCCTGAAATTTTGTAGAATAGTGGATGCTTGGTCTTGGAAGGTTTGATCGTTAGTGCAATTGCGTTTTACTCTAAGCAGTTGGGGCATTCAGAAGCCAAGGGGAAAAATGACAACCATTCTGATGTATATAGCTGTTGAAGTCTGTTTTCTTTAAAAAAGTGTTAGTTTTTAATAATCCATCCTCTACATATATATTTAAATCTAGGAAATGTACCTGAGTTTTACTGAAGTTGGTAGTTAGCTTTATTCCCCAATCGTTGGATTCCAGGTGGGATAGAAAAGTTAGGAGTGACTCTTCATCTCCTCTCCAAATGAAAAATAGATCATCAATGTATCTGCGATAGGTCACGAGGTTCGACTCCCATCTATCATCACTATAGATGAATTGATGTTCCCAATGGGACATAAAAAGATTAGCATAGCTGGGAGCGAACCTCGTGCCCATCGCATTACCACACAGTTGGAGATAAAAATTATCCCCAAACCAAACATAGTTATTACGGAGTATCCAATCTATGCCACTGATTATAAAGTCTATCTGTTCTTGATGAAATTTTTGTGAACGTTCTAGAAATGTTTTAGTTGCTAGACATCTCCTTTCGTGGGAAATTATAGTGTATAAAGGTGTTACATCGGACGTCACTAGATAAAAGTCATCCTGCCATTCAATATTTGTGAGGACCTGTAGAATACTAATGGTATCTTTTAAGTAACTAGGGCATTGTTGTACAATGGATTGTAAATTTCTATCGATATATTGTGATAGTCGACTTGAGATGGATCCTATCCCAGATATTATGGGTCTTCCTGGTGGATTTGTTTTGTCTTTATGTATTTTCGGGAGGTAGTAAAATACCGGTATCTTAGGATGTATGATATTAAGAAAATTATATTCCTTTTTATTTAATATATTTTTTATTTTCCCTTTCTCTATCAATACATTATAACTTGTTTTGATTTCATCTGTAGGATCTTTATTAAGTGTTATATATGTATTTGTGTCTCCCAAAATTCTATTAGCTTCCTTCATATAGTCCATATATTCTAACAGGACTATCCCGCCCCCCTTGTCAGCAGGTTTGATGACAAGGGTGTTGTCATTTTTAAATTCTTTTAAGGCCATCCTCTTTTTAAAGGTTAAATTTTGTTCATATTTGTTTAATCCTTTTATCTTGTTTATATCTTGCATAACCATTTTCTCAAAGGGAATCATCTCTTCTGAGATGCAACATTTGGGAAAAAAAATTGATGGTTCTTTTAAATCAGTGTGGATAAATTCTGATTGTTCTACTAGATTAGGTTGTTCTGGATGTTTTATAAAAAACTTTTTAAGGCACAATTTCCTTTTAAACCGATTCATATCTATAAACATATCAAACTTATCTATACCTTTTGAGGGGGCGAATTTAAGTCCTTTTGTTAGTAATGTGTTCTGTGATGGAGTTAAGGTTCTCTGTGTTAAATTAAATATTCCCCCATTATTAGATGATGTCAATATTTGTTTTTCCTGTCTTTTCTGTACGTGAGTTCCTCCTCTATTTCCCCGTCTTCTGGGCTTCTTTGTCTTTTGTTTAATGGTTTTAGAGAGAGTGGAATCTCTTTGTGTCTGTCCCTCATGTACGATTTCTGAAAATCCTCTCCTCGTGGTGGTCTAACTGTATAATTTGATCTACTTAATGGAGGGTGTATAGGGGACTTGTTTCTAAATATGTATTGCATATTAGGTTCAATGGTTGAATTTCTTTGTCTTATTCTATTGCCTTCTCTATTTGAGTGTTGAGGGGATATATTTTCTTTCACCATTGTTGCATAGGAGGGTCGATATTCTTTTGATTGTTTGTGTGTCCTAGATGGGGGAGATTTTTGGTCTATTGGTCTGTAGTTTCTTATTCTTTTAGGTGAAGTATAGTGGGTAGATTTTAAAGCATTTATTCTTTGATATTTTTTCGGGGTTTTATAATTTTCTTTACTCCTATAATTCTCCTTATATACACTTTGTCGAGATATGTGGTTCTTATTGTAAGATCTCACTTGTTTTTTCGAATAGTCGATAACATCTCTCTGATATTTTCTCTTTTTTATATCAATTACTTTATTCTCTAATCTTTCGAGATTAGTTTGTAATTCTCTAGTTGTGGATTCGTATATTTCAGATGAGGTGTTGAGAATTGAAGATTATGCTAGCGTCAGTGTACCTATAATCTTAATTTTAATAATGACAGGAGGCGAGTATTTTGCATATCTCTCTTTACTAAACTCCACAGCAGTAAAGGAAGTAAACGTTTAACCAATCAAAAATGCAATAGGGAGTGAGGTATTCCCACAAAATAGGCTCCTCCTCCTCTTTCATAAGCGACATCGTAACAGAGAAAAGGTAAATATTGAACATAGAAACGATTTATTATCCAAAGGCATACGGAAGGAACAACGGTGGACGGCCATAGGAATATTGTTCAACTGTAACTGACATCAACGGATGAATGTCCAACTTTAGGCGGTCCTCCTCGAAAGTGGTTGTCTAGGTAGTTTGACAATGTAGTGCCCGAAATTCCAGAAGCTGATGAAGTTAAACTGAAATGAGAGTGTGAAATGGGTTAGATTCTGGCCTCTTACTGGTTGATACAATTATCATGACCCAGCCAAGATATTAGCAACATATGCATGATGATAGAAACAGATATAACAGATACTGTCCCTGGACAAAGAAGGAGTAGTGTAGAGACAGATACGAGATAAAGATGAGGGAAAACAAAACACTCTAAAGAGTAACTGTTCCCTCTTCCCCGGGTAGGAAAGGGAGGGAAAATACTCACCTCCTGTCATTATTAAAATTAAGATTATAGGTACACTGACGCTAGCATAATCTTCAATTTTATCACATGACAGGAGGCTTTCTATTTTGCATTTTTAACGCTGGAGTAGGAGTGACATAGCCGCGTTCGAGTTTGGACGAAAGTAAAAAAGTGCGAAACGTGTATTCTCTCGACCAGTCCGCGGAATGTAGAATGTCCGCCAATGAGGCCCCTGCTGCGAAGGCTGAAGATGCTGCTGCCCCTCGTACCGAGTGGGCCCCGAAGGAAACGTCCACGCCTGCGAGTGAGAGTATCCAGCGGACCCATCTGACGAGCGTGGTGGTAGTGATGGGGACGTGTGGTCGAACATATGATACGAGGAGTTGTCCCGAAGGTGATGTCCGAATTGGGAGTGTAACTTCTACATAGCGTCGTAGAGTGGCTACGATGCAGAGTTGTGGATCTGAGTTGAAGAAGGGGTAGAAAACTGTTGAAGAATCTGATTTTGTGCGACGAGATATGTGGAATGTGACTCCCTCCGGGGAGACCGAGAACGCATCTATGTCAAATGCCCGGACGTCCGATACTCTGCGGAAGGATACCAGGCAGAGCAGGATCGTTAGTTTCGCTGAGAGTTGTCGAAGTGAGAGTCTGTCATTG